GACTCACCGGCCTCTGAGCGGCTCCTTTTTTCAGTTGTGGCTCCTTGCTCCTGTGGGGGTCCACGGGAACCCTATTAGTGGTCTTGCTGGCCTGGGGGCCACCAAAGCTCTCTTCTCCCTTGCTACTACCTCCAAGCAACTTTATCCAGAGGGCACAGCTGTGGCTTTTGCTGGCTCCTGCTTCGTGCTCCAGCCTTAAAGAGGCCGGGGCATGAAATGATCGGAGTGGTTTTTTCTTTCTCTCGCTGTGGCTTATCTCACCTTCATGCACTCCATAGGTCTCTCCTCTTCTTCCCCTGAGCTCAGTGGCCCCAGCTTGGCTGTTGCTTTTTTATAGTTGTAAATTGGTTGATTTGTGGGAGAGAGTGACACAGGGGACTGTCTATTCCACCATCTTGACCAGAAGCTCTTGACTGGATCTCTGAAGAATGGACTTGGACAAATGAGTACAATGAATATTCCAGGTGGAGGAATTACCACGAACACAGGTAGGGAGAGAGTCAAGTACAAAGAATTAGGTCAGGTGTCAAAAACTCAAATATCACATGGCTCAGGCAGGTAACATAAATGATATCTAAAATGATAGATGGCAACTTATGCTTGGAGTTAAGTGACTGAACAGAACTTTGAATATACTACTGTACAACAGAGTACATATTATATATTTCTTGAATATTCAGAATTAAAATTTTCAAGGGATGAGAAAAACAAATATAAATGAAGCTCTAATGGATTGATTGGTTGTTTTGCCTGACCCCTAAGTGAACACAAATACTACTGTACAACAGAGTACATATTATATATTTCTTGAATATTCAGAATTAAAATTTTCAAGGGATGAGAAAAAAAAATATAAATGAAGCTCTAATGGATTGATTGGTTGTTTTGCCTGACCCCTAAGTGAACACAACTAACTTTGGAGGCCATTATGCTTGTGGTCATTACTTTAAAACTCATAGCCTCGGTTTTGGACAGTTTGTTTTTTATTTATGGGAAATTTGGTAACTCCCTAATCTTTAAACCTAAGTGGCTGTTTAATGCTTTCACTTTGTGTGTGTGTGTGAGGGATAGACAAGAACCAATCATGAAGTTCTGTTTTATTTTGAGTTCAACTTTTTTAGACACCTCCTCCCCCATCCCACTGTCACTTCTTGGAGCATTTCTTTCTAGAAGTTTTTTCTCCCATATGATATGAAGCCATATCATATATATTCCCACTTGAGCATTTTGATGTCTCATTTTAGTATCCTAATAGTAGAGCTTTTAGCGAAATGAATGGGCTGTGGTTTGATCTCTTTTGATCTTCATCATTTTAGCACTGACAGTAAATCACACAATGGTCACACTTCCCTGGGATGCATTTCCTTGTATCCTTCACTTGTCATATCAGGAGCATGAAAACCCTACTGCACAATAACTTTGTTGGTTTAAATAGGACCCCTCACAAAGTGCATTGAATAAGCATAAGAAAGCATGACACACGGCATATGTGAAGGCATCAATCATCTGCTGCACCCCCTCCTGTCATTCTAGCAGTTTCTGCTCTCTGCTTAAGAACTCAGAATACCTAAGGGGTGGACAACTGAAAGAGACAGGTGAAATGGTTGATCTGTTTAGTTGCTAAGTGCAGCTGGGACAGGTAATTAAACAGGCCTGCTCCTGCAGAGAAGCCTGCAGCAATGTAACATGAAGTCTCAGAAACCCAGCTGTATTCAGATTTAGATTCAGAACTAATATTAGGTAGACCTCCTTCAGATTGACAGATTTTGTAAACATCATTTCTGGTTTATTTGTTCAGCATGATTGAAAGTGAAGCATGTGTATTTTGTTCACAATTTAAGTTTTCTGATGAGCGTGTGGTGGTTACACATATCTGGGGGAATAGCCTAGAAAGGGTATGGGCCTGCCCTGGAGGACAAGGGATGAGCCTCTGCTGATCTTCAGTGCTCCAGCCCATTCCTGATTTCAGCTGTTCTACGGAGGTGGGAATGGGGTCATTCATGTGAATAGGTCAGGATTCGAGGGGAGAGTGGAAGGGGATATTGGAACCAGTTTCCTCCTTAACCCTATTATCTCTGATGGAGGTGTAATATTATATAAATAGAAAAGATCTCTCTGTGTGTACAGCAGTGTCTTTGTTTTAATTTAGGCACTATTTCTGTACAGAAATTGTTGCCACCATCTACTCATTTGCTCATACCACATATTTAGCAATTATCCTTTTCACTTACCTCCCATAAGACATCCTCTAGCAGGCCTTTTGTATGGCTGATGCTTATCATTTAACTCTCACCTTAAATGTCCCTTTCTCCATGGAGCCTGCTCTGATCAGATTTCCAGAATGGCCTCCACCCACTTGAGCTCTTACATCATGACCTTGATTAGTTATTTGTAGCACTTCATCATGCTTTGTAATTACTCATTTGTTTTTCACACACACATTTTCCTTTGATGCATTTCTTTGTATCCTTTATCATATCAGGATCATGATAATGAATGCTGCTGCTTGTTGGTTGATTATTATTTGTTTGCTTGTGTCTACTTCCTTGCTTGTTTATTGTCTCTGCCACACTAGATGTTAGTTCTATGAGGGCATAAACTGTTTCTTTTCTTCACTCTATATTTTCAGTTCATATTTCAATGCCTTGCACATAGTTTACACCCTGTAAATATATACTGGTTATCATGTCCATACTAGATTGTAAATGACTGGTATGCGAGTAAATGTCTAGCTCTCAGGAAAAAAAAACAAAAAAACCAGCCCCAATTTGTAGCTCATACCATTATCTGTGGTGTAAATACTCCTACCCCATAGATTTTAAGCCACCAAAATGACATCAGTGATCAGTGAGTCAGGAAGCAATGTTTAATTACCTGTTCCAGCTGCATCTAGCTAGTAAACGAATCGTCCAATTCATCTGTCTCTTCCAGTTGTCCACTCTTTCGTATTCTCTGAGTTCTTAGAGAGTATTCCACCATATGGATATTATAGATATAAATCACTTCAAGAGCATAGATATTAGTAAAGTGTAATGAAAGATAATTAGGAAGTGATGGAGTTTGAGTACTTATTACATTTATTTTTAATATTATTTAATTGTACTTTATATAATTTAATTTTTGATAATGGCTGTGTTTAACAACTGGCTTGCAAAATTTCTGAAAATTGAACAATCTGCTCTCACAAGTCAGTGCAACAAGCCAGCTTCAGCACCCACTGGAGATGACCTGTGGCTGGATCCACTGACAACTCTCTGCCCTGTATTGTTTGGCTTCTAAACAAAGGAAAGAAGACAGTGGCAGGGACGGGTGGGTAAACTGTTCTTACAAAAACATTTCTCTGAGAGTTTTTGCTACCCTCTATTACATATACTACTAAAGAAAATAACACTAATGTCTCCTTATATCTTGATATACATGATGTGGTACAATGACTAGGCCAATGAGGTGGCAGCAATGAGAAATGAAAAAATCAGAGAGTGAACAGGAATAAAAACAATTTAAATCTTAATCCATAGAGAGTGCAAGAACATCTTACTGCCAGAGGTGGTTGTAGATCCTAAAGTGCTTAGTGGTAAAGAGCACTTAATTTTCAGAAAATTTTCCCAGGGCCAGAAGTCTCTCATGCCTATTTTAAATCATTGAGGTCTTAGTCAGCTGGACTAGTTGCCACTTCACATTTGTCCGCTTGTCTGTAGTGCGACGGAAATGAGTCCCAGATGGTGTCTGAAGCAAGGCCTGTGGAACTGTGGGGACTCAGAGCAGATGACTGGGGGGAGATGACAAGCTCAGGGATAGGGGATAATGGGGAATAGGAAAATTGAGGGAAAGAGCCACATTGTGGATGAATTGCCACTCTATGTGGGGACTCAGAGCAGATGACTGGGGGGAGATGACAAGCTCAGGGATTGGGGATAATGGGGAATAGGAAAATTGAGGGAAAGAGCCACATTGTGGATGAATTGCCACTCTGTGTAGGATTTTCTCCTTATATAGTTAGAGGTGGCCCTGGTATTTTTAAGTAAACAGGCTATCGATATAGGAAATATAAATCATAATTAGTACCATTTACACATTTGAATTTATACAGCCACAGTTGGAAATCATTAGCTCCATCTTTGAAAGTCAGGGGATTGGAGTTTGGTGAATACCCTTGATCTCTGTAGCCAACAAAGATGAATGCAACTCGGATGCTGTTTACTCTGACATTGGCTAGTTTCTCAACCTTTGACTCGTGTATTGGCCCTTATATTCATGAATTCTTATAAACCAAAAGAATCAGTCCTAGAGTGGATAATGACTGCCTTCCACCAAATTGGAAATGTTCTCACTTAAGTTGACTAGATGGAAAAAGATGTCTTGAGCGAGGTGCCATCTTCCACAGATTAATTTAAATAACATTTAAGGAGCCCATGTTTAGGGCCTGGTACTGTTCCAGGGCCTGAGGTTATAGAGATTAAAGATACAGACTGTGCCTTCAAGTAGGGGGCAAAGTGAGGGGGACAGTAAGAAAAATAAGAATTCTAAACACAGTATGTTGTGAGTTATTGTAAAGATGTGCACAGGGTGGTCTCAAACCCCTCGGGGAAGCACAACTCACAGCTTCCTGGAAGTGACACTTCGTTGGTATAGAAGTGTGAGTGGGAGTTAATAAGGTAATAAAGACAAGTTAGGATGTTCTGGAGAAAAGTGAAACACAGCATACAACTGGGAGCTATAGGAAATGTGGGGTGCCTAGAGCTTAGAATCGAAGGCAGGACTTTGTGCAGCTGTCTCTCCATTCTCAGGGAATCCAAAAGGAAAAGAGGAGTGAGAATGAGAAGATCAACAACTTCACAGTTTTGCTTGAGGCTAGTTTTCTCATTATTGTCCTCTTTTGAGGATGTTGGTGATCTGATTCAAGAGGTGGGGTTCTCGTGTTACAGTCATACTTGATGGGGGATTAATAGCTGGATGTGTCCTGGTTGTTTCTGATATCATTGCTCTGTGTTTTGCTACAGTTGCTGCCTATTCACACTTTAAGACTTGGTGTGGAAGTGGATTCCTTTGATGGGCACCATTATATCTCTTCAATTGTTCCTGGTGGTCCTGTTGATACACTGAACCTCCTACAGCCAGAGGATGAGCTTCTTGAGGTAAAATTTATGGGGGAAGAAGGACATAAAGCAGGAATTTTTAAATTCTGTGAAAATGTGTTCTCATCAGAAATCCACTGAGTTACAGTGTCACCAATGCTCATGTAATATGAGCCATTTAGATTCAAAAATACCAAGTTTTTTGGAGGACAAAGGAAGTAGATATTATGCTTTCAGTTCATTTTTCCCATCTTTTGGAGTTCCTGAGATATCCTTTTGAGTGTTTATTTAAATGACTGAGAAAGAAGTCTGATAGCATAATTGGTATTTTTTTAGCAAAATTTTTTTTTAAAAGGATCTGATCCCTGACCCTTGTTGAAACATGTAGCACCATTTATACGCAGGTTTTGTTGACTATTTCTAGTAAGGATTGGAGCGTATGCATAGTTGACTGGTTTTCAACTCCTGGGGACTTTTCCCTCAGACTGTCAGCTTTAGTGGGCTTGCTTGGACTCTCCAGCCTCTTTTCATTCACAGCGGTTCTAGAGCACCTCTGCTTTGAAAGGACTTTCTTGAGAGATTTTGTTAGATTGAAAAGTTCCATAGAACACAAACAAAACAAACTGAAAGTCCTAATTTTACAGATAAGAAAATAAGGCACTAACTTCCCCAACTTTACACACTGAATTCGTTGTAGAAAGATAACTTTAGTTAGTGTTTCCTAACTACCATTTCATTGTTATTTTCAAATACGTCGCTCTACCTCCTAAGCCCCTAAAAGAGATGTAGGGAATGGTCAAACAAGAAGACTGCACAGAAGAGGTTTCTCCCAAGAATTAGAAGCCACAATAAGCCCTAGATTGGATTTAATAGAATTAACTTAGTAGCCTCGGCCAAGATTAGAATTTTATGGGCTCTCATTTTAGAGACTTTTCTAAAGTTTGTTTGCTCAAATTCAAAAGACAAGGATAGCGAATTCAAGGATAGTGGAGTACAATTCTGTGTACTTCAAAAAGTTCATGGAAAGATTTTATTATCTTTAGATTCTGTTTTTTTTTTTTTGTCTTTTTTTTCCGTGTCCGGCAACGGATTGCAACCCTCAGTGTCGCCCCCGTACCGGACCGGGACCGGCAACGGGATCGCAACCCTCGGTGTTGCCCCCGTGCCTCGCTCAGCCAGTGAGCGGGAACCGGTCTGTATGTGGGATCCGAACCCTCGGTGGGAGCGCCTCCGCGCTTCCCAAGCAGCGCACTAGTGCAGTGCGCCACCGGGCCGGCCCTAGATTCTGTTTTTTCCACAGACTTTTTGAAGTATCCTTGTAGGTTTTATGTTGAGTGCGAGTATCTAACCACCTCAAAGAGTATGTTGAGAAGAATTCTGGGTTGAATTTTGAGCTTGGAGAAAAGTGCTATGACTAGTAATCAAATTCTGTTATAAGAATGGGAGGGCAGGGTGTTGGTGTCCTATTTTAAGATGTAGTAAGTTGCTTCTTTTTAGGGCTATTCAAGGGAATGGTATTGGGGTGCTTTTCACAGATTAATGCCCTCAGTTTTACTGGATGACTTAGGTTTTCTTTTTGGTGCTGAGAGTATGTCTTCCTCTTGTGATTGGCAGGGCACCAGGCACAGCTTTATGGATATCACCCTGGATAATATGTAGATTGGAGACCATTGTTATAATATGTGGTTATTAAGTATTGAGAAATGAGATATATTTGTTTGGGAGTTGTGGAGATATGAGTAAAACTAATTTAGTTCATTTTTTTTTTTTTTGGTGGTAAAACATACGTAATGTTTACCATTTTAACTGTTTTTAAATGTAAAATTCATTGGCATTCAGTATAAATCACTGCGAGTATGTGGTAGGTACTAAAGAAATGTTGGAGTAGAGCAAGCATAGGTGATCCCAGCCATCAACTAAATCTTCTGTGCTTTAGCCGAGATTAGAATCCCATGGACCTACCTACCACCTTGTGATAGAATGTGATATGATAAGGTAGCATGAAGATTTTTTGAATTCTTATATATGGATTTCTAGTGAAAGAACTTGGGATAAAGAAGCACAGGTTTGAAAGTCAGAAGAGTTGCTTTGGGTTCTGAATTTGCCACAGCTCAGCCATGTGTCCCTTGGCATGTCACTTAACTTTTTTGAGAATCAGTTTCTTCATCAATAAATGCCTACTTTATTATATGTTTGTGAGGACTTAGTGAAATATCATCCATGTGAACTATAAAGCATTATCTCACTGTCAAGTATTGGTAATATTATTACTACCAGAACATCATTTTAACAAGCTTTATGGGCTGGGCTGAGGATTGAATGTGGTAATGTAGTGGAACAGCACTTGTGTGATATTCTGTACTCTGGAAGTGTGTACGTGTCTGCGTGCATTTTCTCATAAAAAAATTCCAGATATTTGAGACTTGGCAGCACCTAAAAGGGTTTTAGTTTGAAGGACCTCAAGAAATCCTGAAATCTAAAATAAAAATTGTCTTCTTCTGACTAACCGACTATAGAAATAAAAAATCTCTGTAAAGTTAGCCAAATAAACTCCTGAACTCAAAGTGTGTGTGTGTGTGTTTAATGTACTCCTAAGAGTTTAAAACCAGAAACACAAATATGCTTTGTGTGTGTGTGTGTGTGTGTGTGTGTTTAATGTACTCCTAAGAGTTTAAAACCAGAAACACAAATATGCTTTGGGGTTAGAACACTGTGCCAAATCTCAGCCCAGAACAGCTATTTACAGCAGCCATAAATCCCCCTAGATAGGAAGGAGTTGGTAATGGGAAATGTGACCAATCCCTTTAGCGATAGAGAGTAGTGAGGAGGACTACCAGGCACTGCTGTAATAATTGGAGACAATTCAAATGAATAAATAATAAGCTAAATAAATATTTAAAGTTACTCCAAGATAAAAACCTGAAAAGTGACTTTCTAATTTGTTGCAGTGAATCACAAACTAATACTCATGTATGGGTAGAATTCCTGCTTTGATTGTATTCAGCTTGCTTTTCTTTTTAGTTTAAGTTACTTACCATTAAGGTGGTTTTAGAACTTTCTTAGCTTGTGGCACCAGTTAGCACTGTGGATGTGGTGTGACCAGTGATGGGTACTTCCCTGCGCCTGCTTGTGTAGAGGTTGACTTGAAGTTCTTGTAAGGAAAAACCTTTCATCTGCTGCTGAACTTGCTGTTCTCTGGATCCCTTCAGCAGACATAAAGTCTTGGGAGATGACATTTACTTTTCTAGTAGGGCTAGCTCCCTGAAGTGCATGTGGGTCTCTACCATGTGGTGGTTTCTTTGTAAATAATTAAGAGGCAGGGAGATATATGTGGCCTAATGGCTAAGTGCTTAGTATGTTACAGGCTTGAGAGTGTCCCAGGGATGGTTGAATCAAGGCTCACCCTGCTGCAAATGGGATGCTTCCAGCAACCCAGCGTCCTCTTATTTTCTGCTGCAATGACAGATTTGTGGAAAGGCTACTGCCAGTTATCTGAACATTAGCACTACACTTGACAGAAATTAATGCCAGACTAGAAATATCTTTAAAACTAATAATGCTGCTAAAACCCTCCCAGGAAGGTAGGAGTCAGATTTGAAAAGATTATTTGTTGCTTGGCGTGTGTTCAGGCCTCAACTTTTTGGGAGCAGCCTCTGATCATCTTTTAGTGATCTGTGTTAGTCCATTTCTGTTGCTAATAGCAAAATACACTGAACCAGGTAATTTATAAGAAAATGAAATTTACTGCTCACAGTTTCAGAGGCTAAAAGTCCATAGTCCAGGGAACACATCTGATGAAGGCTTTCTTTGGTGGTGACTTCAGTGATGGCAAGGAATCATATTGCAAAAATGACAGAGCAGAGATTAACCTCTTCATGTGCTCTCCTTTTAAGGCCCTCAGAATCATGCCCCCAACCACCATTATTAATCTGTTTGCTATGGCGTGGTGCTACAATCTAATCACCTTTTCAAGACCCCACCTTTCAATTACCATAGTAGGATTTCCCACCCTCAACAGTTACAGTGCGAATTAAGCTTCTAATATACGAACTTCAGAGGACACAATTCAGTTAATCCACAGCATTGCATCCCTGGCCCCCAAAGTTTATGTCCTTCTCACAGGTAAATACATTCATTCCATCCCCAAAGTCTTAACTTGTTTCAGCTCAAAAGTCCAAGTTTCAGAGTCCCATCTGTGAAATCAAAACAAGTTATCTACTTCCAAGGTACAATGGTGACACAAGCATAAGGTACATATTCCCATTGAAAAAGGGAGAAATAGGCCAAAAGAAAGGGTTAACAGGTCCTAAACAAGTCCAAAACCCAGCAGGTCAGGCATCACATCTTACAGCAGATGAATCATGTACCTTGACTCCATGTTTGACATTCTCTGCATGTTGGTGTGGGGGTTGGGTCCCCAAGTCCTTGGGCAGCTCTGTTCCTATGGCTTTCCTGGTCTCAAGTCACACTTCAGCTCTCCCAGGCTGGGTTTGCATGCTGGTAGCTCCACAATTCTGGGGTCTCCATGGTGGTCCCACTCTCATGGCTCCACTAGGCATGGCACTGATGGGGGTATTCTGCTGCAACTCTGACCCCACATTTCCACTCAGCATTGCTCTAGTGAAAACTCCATGTGGTGAATCCATGCCTGTGACAGAGCTTTCCCTGGGTCCCCAGCCTTTTTCATACATCCTTTGAAATTGGGGTGGAGGCTCCCAAGCCTTCACAGCTCTGGCATTTTGTGAGCCTGTAGACTTAACATCACGTGGACATTGCCAAGGCTTCTGACTTACATTTTTCCGAAACTGCTGGTCCAGCCACACCTGGGGCCAATTTAGCCATGGCTGGAGCAACCAGAGCGGCTGAGGTGCTGGTGCTGGAAGCAGCTTCCTGAGGTGGCCCTGGGAAGCGAGTCTGTGGAGAGTGTCTCGGGCCTGTTTTCTGATACTATTTGGTCTCCCTAGGCCTCCGGGCCTCTAATAGAAGGGTTGGCCCCAGAGGCTTCTGCAATGCTTTCAGGGCCTTTTGCCCTTTCTCTTGATAGTCCCCTTCTTTTGTAC